TCAAGATGTATTGATATTTACTGGCAATTAGAATGCAAAGGTGGAAAACAAAGGGGAACGATAAGTAATTGGGAAATATGGCCTTTATGATAGTAATGATGCTTAAGATCACGTAACAGTATTGTGCAAGACCAGTATTTTCTTCATTGCAATTACCTTTATTAAACAACATAGTAGATACTATATGCATAGACCTAACCAGACTGAGCACACAGAAACTCAAATGAGTACATCTATGGAAAAAAGATGGTGAAAAAACTCCATATTATCAGCCAAAATCAGGCCAGGGGCAGACTGGAATTATGCAAATGCAAGTTCGGGCTGAAGCTGAATTAGAAATATTTCAAATATTTCAAAAACTGAATTTGAACATATTTCCTCTGAATTTACAGATTGTCTCAAGACCATATTTGATGTATTAGACACTAGTGACTGAAGATCAGAAGAATTGTGGGATGAAATCAAGACCATCATATAGAAAGAAAGCAAAAAGTCATTAAGGAGATAAGAGAAAAGGAAGATACCAAAATGGATGTCAGAAAAGATTCTAAAACTTACATTCCAGCTTAGAAATGCTAAGTTAAATGAAATACAAAAAGAAGTAAAAGAACTACACAGAAAAACTTTAAAGTCAGCATGAAAAGACAAATGTAAATATTATAATGAAATGTGCAAAACCCTGGAATTAGAAAACCAGAAGACAAGAATAGGCTCAGCATTTCTCAAACTGAAAGATCTGAAGAAAAAAAGTAGCCTCAAATTGTGATATTGAAGTATTCTATATAAAAATATTTCATGATGGAGGAGGTATCAAAAGGAGAAGAAAGGAGTACACAGAGTCATTTACCAAAATTAAATTGTTGATATTCATCCATCTCAAGAGATAGCATATGATCAAAAACCAATGATATTTAAGGAGGAATTCCAAGGAAGGCATTGGCAAAAAACTAAGATCAGGAATTGATGGAATAAAAATTGAAATCTTTCAGGAAAGTGAGGCAGCACAGGAGGCAATCACTCATCTCTGCCAAGAAATTTGGAAAACAGCTTCCTGGCCAACTGATCGGAAGAGATCCATAATTGTGCCCATTCTAAAGAGAGATGACCCAATGGAATGCAGAAATCTTCCGACAGTGTAATTAATATCACATGCAAGTACATTTTTTTTAAAAAAGGAATTTAAAAATGGCTGCAACATTATATTGATAGGGGATTTCTACGAGGGTCAAGAAGGATTCAGATGAGGACATGGAATGAGGGATATCATTGCTACGATCAGATGAATGTTGGTTTAAGGCAGCAAATACCAGAAAGATGTTTACCTGTGCTTCGTTGAGTATTCAGTGGCTTTTGACTATATGGAACATGACAAGCTATGAATAGCATTTTGAAGAATGGATATTCTGGAACACTTAATTGTGTTTGTGAGGAACCTGCACATAGTGCAAGAGGCAGTTTTCCCAAACAGCACAAGAAGGCACTGGACAGTTTAAAGTCAGGAAAGGTGTACGCTGAGGATTTATTCTTCCATCACATGTAGTCAATCTGTATGTGGTGCTATAGAATCATCACTAGACTGCAAACCACAAGATCAGCAGTTCAAACTCACCAGCTGCTCCTTAAAAACCCTATACAGGAACAGACTCGACAGCACTTAACAACAACAATGCTGAGAAAATAATATGAATAGCTGGATTATATGAAGAAGAACACAGCATCAGGATTGGAAGAAGACTCATTAACAAACTATAATATGCAGTTGATACAATCTTTCTTGCTGAAAGCAAACACGGACTTAAAATACTAACTTTGATGAAGATCAAAGACCACAATCTTCAGTATGGTTTGCTCCTCAATATACGGAAACAAAAATCCTTATCACTGAACCAATAAGTAACATCATGATAAATGGGAAAATGTTGAAGTTGTTAATGACTTGAGTTTTCTTGAATCCATTGTCAACATTCATGGAAGCAGCATTCAATAAAT